ACAGAAGAGGGACAGTGGTTTGGACATGTCCAGAGGAGGGACAGTGGGTATACTGGTAGAAGGATGTTAGAATGCAGCTGCCAGGAAAAAGACAGAGGACATGTATGAATGCAGTTAGAGAGGACATGGAGGTAGTTGGAGTGAGGACAGAGTGAGATGGAGGAGGATGACTCGCTGTGGAGACCTTGAAGAGGGAACAGATGAAAAATCTGTCAAATTGACTGAGTTAGACATTTTTGTGATTCCATTTGTTGACTAGTTGTGACAACCATCTTGAACTAGCTTGACTCCAAAAGTTAATCACTTGTTCATGAACATTCATTTATTACTTCCTGAACGTTGCGTTCAAATGCATTCACCAGTTCATGAGGTGACATGAATGCTGCATTGTTAGGTCCAGGTGTCAGCTCAGTACCTGAAGATGGACTGATATACAGCCCTCTTTGTGTTCATACAGTTCATGTGACTGTGGTGGCCATCTTGAATTGGATGGCTCAGATGTAGTGCATGATCCATTAATTGTTTCCTGAAAGTTTCATGGACATCCATCCAGTGTTTCAAGAGATATTTTGCTAACAAAGTTGGACTAAAATGTTATTCAAACAAATATCTATTTTAAACACATATACAAAACATGTTAGTCAGAAAATGTTAGGATACAATCTCAGCTACTATCGCACAAACTTTATGGCAGTATCTGTAATACTGAGTTCTAGTACTTTTGTGTTTTTTTTCAAGGTCAGTTGGCTGTCGGCCATCTTGAATAAGCCTTACTCCAAAAGCTAATCAGTTGTAGCTAATACATCTGAGGACTATTTTCTGTGAACTTCATTAAAATTTGTCCAGTTGTTTATGGGACATTTCGATAAGACGCAGGCCAGTAATCATCCACCTTCACCTTTTAGTGGCAGGAGTAAAGGTCTGTGGACATGGAAGTGTTTGTTTTTAGTACTGTCTGAACGCGTTGTTGTTCTGAATGGAAAAAGTATTGCAGGGGGGCTGGGGCAGTAAAGAAGAACAGTGACGGCTTCACTTGTTGCTCACGTCTCTTCCACACACATTAGATTTTTTACTGTTTACACAGGTCACCAGTGATTTTGTTGGTTTTGCAGCAGCTGGGCTGATAACAGCTGTTATTTATTTCTGTTTCAGCTGAAGAAGTGGAGCACCTCATGGCTCCGTCTCCTTACAGCAAACACTCTGCCTCCTGCTGCACAGTATGCGGGGGGGGGGGGGGGGG